ATCAAAGCTAAGGAAAAGCTTAAGGATGAAATGTGAAATCCTAAGGGAAGTTTGCAAGCTAAGGACACCAGGTGAGTGCAAATTTAATTTGTACTTATGTTATCGAACAAACATTAGCTTGCGATGAGCCAGTTATGGAGTTACTATGGTAAGGAGTGACTCCTAAAATGTTATGTTATTTGTGATGCATGCATATATGTGCATTTGGTGAGCTAATATAATTAGTGAACTAGTTGAAAATGAAAATTGGTGAAACCTACTTAGAATTTATGTTATGGACGTTAAGTTTAGAAAATTACCATAAATTATAAAAAAACAATTAGAGAATGATTTTTATACTGTTGGATTCTTATATCAGTCAAGTTTTTTTAGAACAAACAGAAATTGATTTTGAGGTATATACAAAAATATATGAATTTTTAACCAATGATAGGTCAGAAATGGGGCAGCAGATTCTGCAAAACAGATTTTGTAGGTCAACTTTAAAAATTCACCATAAATTGTACAAATTGAAATAGAAGGAGTTCCTTATATGTATAGATTTGTATTTGAGTATAGTTTCCATTGGTACAAACGGAATAATTTTTAAAGGTTTATATTAATACATAATAATATTTCTTTAAAGGTAGTGCAAACTGCCATGATATGAAATTAAGACAAATTTTGGGATTTAACCAAATTAGAAGCAAATGATCAAGTTAAAGCTTATTGCGGCTTATATTTTGACTTGTATATAATATCAAAGTGAGTGCAATGCATACATAATATTATACATGGATGTTTATACATCATTGGGTAGGAATTACGATAAGTCTACCTTAATTATATTGTCATGATATTTATGGAAATTATCATATAATTGATATATTCTAGATATGTCAAAGGTGAATATAGAATGCATTGATCACTTTTCATTGCATATGATGTTATCATGAATACATATCATGTTTATCATAAATGTTATTTTGGGTATGAATTACCCAAAGGTTAAATGGTTTTGATATACTTTGCCATGGATGGATCAAATAAAAATAGACTATATGCCCAAGTATGTTATTGAGGGTCATTGGTATTAATGACATGTCATAGAGTCTAGCAACTGCATATTAGGTAGAACTAGAGTGTCTAGCGAAGACACGGTACAAAACACTACGGTGTATAAGGTGGGAACGGCTTGACCTCAGCACTACGGTGCATTATTAGGTTAGCAAGGCTCGACCTCAGCACTACGGTGCAATATTTGACTCCTATATCGAGTCCTCATACAATTATACTTTGGTCTATGGTTTATTGGTTAACAAATGATAAGCAGGTGCATAAGCTGTTGAGCTCATGGAATAAATGAAAAGTATATTGGTAAGAAATTTATATGTGATTCATATCATGTTCATATTAGTAGCATGATTGGAAATACATGTATAGTGATCATAATGCATTGAATATTATTATTTTTGACATTTATGTGTTGCATTGCCTTAAATGTTTCTATGGTTGCCTCACTAAATGTATACTTAGCGTGTGGTTATTTTCACGCGTAGGAAAAAAAAGTAAAAGGAGTAAGGAACTGAGCTTGACATCAATCACCAAGGAAATATTTACAGGTAACAGTGATGACATCCTATTGTGTTCTAAAAGTTCTAGCTGGCATGTATACGAGAATGAAATGTCTGCAATTTCTTAATATAGTTAGTATTAAATATAATTAATAGTATGGATAAATATTATGATATTAAACTATGCTTAGCAAAAATTAATTTGGGTTTTAAATCAAATGTGTTCGACAATCTTATTTATTTTATGAAAATAGAACAAAAATATCTATCAATGCTTGAAACTGGTTTTGAATTGATAACTAACAATATTATATTACGATTTTCTCTGAATAATTATTTTATAATAATTGTTCAAGTTATGAAACTAGATATGTTTGAATGAAACAAAATTTTACTCAGTTCAATTAAATAAAAGTTTTGAATTTATGATGTGACATCTATAACTCGTATATGCAAACCAATACGAGTTATGGGTGTTACAAAAATATTTATATATAATTAAAGAAACATTTTAATATATTTTATATAATCGTATTTTTTGTTAATGTAAAAAATATTCTTAATTTTTATTTATTAATTATATTATTTGTTGTCTAAAGAAAAATTTACAAAGATACAAAATGTATATTATTTGTTGTATAAAACAAACTAAATGGATGCCTTGGTCCAATTGTTTGGTGCTTTCTACTTTACCTAAGGGATCCTTGGCTCAAATCCCACAAGTTGATTATGTTGTTTGTTTATTTTCTTGCAAACCAACGTGTCACCTTCTGATTGGAGTAAAATAAATTAAGTTCTCCAATCGAATGACGACGCATGCATTTATTTTAATTAATTAAAATGAAGACTAAATTGAAAGAATATATAAATAACATGAACCAATTGTGTAATTATACAAAAATGTTTTAATTGCCACGTCACATGTCCCATTAATTGTTAACCACATGTGGCTTTATTGAAGCACTTAAATAGTTGAATGGTCTGTTTGATCAAATTGAAAATCGGTAGTCAAAATGATTTTTGACCGTAGTTGAGTGGTCACATGTGTAGTTTACCCTATTATAAGCATAGAAGTGAAAATTCAAGTTCATTTAAATTGAAATAAATCTTTAATAGTAATTTTAAAATTTAGGGATTAATTTGGAGTTAATTATGTCACATGTCCCCAAACTATAACCTTAATTTAATATTGATCCTTAAACTTTTGAATATTTCAATTTCATCCCTAAACTATGACTCTCATTCTAAACTAGTCCTTAAATTTTTAAACATTCTAATTTCATCCCTAAAATATGACCTTCTTTCTAAATTGGTTCCCAAACTTTTGAATTTTCCAATTTTATCCCCAAATTCATCTAAATATGTAATTAGTTTCAACCATAATTTAACTTAAATTTTGTTTTTTTGAACATATAATAATATAATTTGGCCTAACGATTTTATTAACAATGGATGTGATTAGTATATACATATAGTTTGGGATGAAATTGGAATATTCAAAAAATTTGGGGACCAATTTAGAATAAAGGTCATAGTTCGGGGATGAAATTGAAATGTTCAAAAGTGTGAGGACTGGTTTAGAGGATATTCATAGTTTAGGGATGAATTAAAATATTTAAAAGTTTAGGGACCAATTTAAAATGAAGGTCATACTTTGAGAACATATGATGCAATTAGCTCATTAATTTGCAATATAATCAATTATATAGGGTTTTTAAAATATTTTTTTATGATTTCCAATTCGAGGAATTGATTCTTTTGCCAGAGAGATCAAACATTTTGATTATAGTAAGCTCCAAAAATTTAGGCGTAAGGAATTGGAAATCATTTTTCAAAACCAATTAATAAAACTTTACGATTTAACATATTTGATCATTTTTCGTACTTAACCTAATCATGCTTACTAACATATAACAAATAAACCAAATTAAACGTGATTTTCAAACAAAATCAAAATAAACTAAAACCTGGTAAAAAAGTTCATAATAAATGTAATAAGTTGAAAATAAAACATAGTAAAAAATCGATTCTAACCAACAGGATTAGTTTAAGTGATAAGCAAATTGATATCGCTTAAACAATGTCTTAGGTTCAAGTCATTCTGCATACATAAAATTCTCGCTGTGAGACTCACCCACCAAAGCCAAGTGTACGACCCGGGTCGATCTAGATTAATCAATGCGAAGTCTTGGAATTGGAGGACAAAAAAAAAGTCTGTCCTAAAGAGTTCCCACATTAACAAATTCCAAAACAAATTGATTTTATTACATATTCAAAAGATGAATACCACCCCAAAACTATTACAGCTTTCAGCCTTTATCAGAAGAAGATGGAGGACCCGTGCGACCAAGATAAGAAGGAAAGGGGCATAGTGAAAAGCCTCTGAGAAATCTAGTTTCAGCACCTTCTGGGTTACCATTGTTCGATATTTATAGAGTGAAGGACTTCGTTTTCTATCAAGATGTTTGATGAATGCACATTGCGTACGAGTCACTGACAACTGAGTTCATCACCTCTCGAAGTCTCCAGGTGAGCTCCTTGCATGGCAAGAATCTTGTCAACGGGTCCTATTAAACTTATAGGTCTTACGTATGAGACGTTGCTTGACTTAGGGATGAGGGCGATCAATAAATAAAAAACAAATGGAATTATACTATTGTATGTATATTATATTTTAATCTATACTATTAATAAAATTTTTGAACTCAGCTTCAGGAGTCAGAAATATCATCTAATAGAATTACATAAAAAACAAATGGAATTATACTGATAAAATGATGCAATGGGGTGTTTAAGTTATTTTAAAAATTTGCCACAAAAGTACAAGCGTATGCACGAAAGTTTCATTGCATGTGATTACAAATCTTAAGACTACATCCCTAACAATTGATGCTACCGTAAAAGCTTTAACTATTTTAATAAGGGTTTAACATAAAAAAATGTTAAATTTATTGATTTTTTTCGAATTAAAACTAAATTAATAGAATGCATATACTTTTAGACTAAAAATGTTATATTCCCAGACTACGTTAGACTTTTGTTTCAATTTTAATGTCGGCTTGACCTGCTTCCAATAATATTTTAAATGAGTGACTAAATTATAATTTTTAGTAAAAATATGACCTCTCTGTAGCTCACTTAATAATTGAGTGTCCTAAAATGGATTTTACCCTTGAATAAAGTAGGGTTCCAATTCCTATATTCAAACTTCAAAATCACGCAAATCACGCGTTTAAATAAGACTCCTGCTGCTCATGAATTTGCTGTTTTCACAAACTTTGAAGCGTCAAAACCAATTTCGAAGCCAAAAATAACAATTGTATTTGCTACTCAAATTTTGTCTTCAAACCCATTCAAAGAAGGTATAATAAGCTACAAAAGGGAAAGGGTAAAAGTAAAAGGAAAAGAACCCGATTCGTTTTGTTATTGCATGTAAAAGGGGAAACGATGTCGACTGATCTCAATGATTACACTATCATCAAGGAAGGAGAAGCCGAGATTCTTATGCATGCTAAAAATGAAGTCTTTTTCAACAAAACCCAGGTTTCAGATTTTATTTTTATTCTGGTTTCAATTGGATCCATCATTAGAATTTTCATGGGCTTTAGTCGATGGTTTGCCTTTTTTTTTGTTAGAAGATTCTCTTCATTGCGATGAATTTTTTGTTTTAAGAGGAACTAATTATGGATTTTTAAATTAAAAAAATGTAACTTCTGCTTAATCGGATGAACTGATGGGCGGGGAAAATATAATTGAATTTCATCGTTTTGTTTTGTTAGATTTTTTTCATTTTTTAGTTTTGGTTAATGGGAAGCTTTTGATTTGAATAAAGAGTTCTATATTAATGATGACTTATTGTTAGAAAAACTCTACTAGAGAGGTCTTCTACTAAGTTAAGTTGTTTATGAAAATTGAAAGCTCTTTGGTCGGTAGTGTGAACTAATGGCGCCGTGATTGGCTGCTGAGAAAGGGCGGGAAAAGGAAAGGAATTGTGAAATATTCTCTAAGTACAGCTTTCGCTGAAAACATGTGTACTCTATTTCTAGATGCTTTGAGTGGGATTTTGTTTCCGCTGCTGTGTAATTGTGGTTTTAGTTGTTTAATGATTGGTTCTTATTCACTAGTAGGGATTTTAATTGTTTACTATAATAATTAGGTTAATAACAGAGACATGTCCATAGCGGTCCTGAGGACATTTATATCAAGAAGGAAGCAGGAAGATGAGGCATTGTTGTCTAAAAGAAACAAATCAGCACCAAAGGCGCTTGATAAGAATGTTCCTTATTCTGGCGTAGAAGATAAACCCGCTGACTCTGATATGAATATTGAAAAATCGAATGAACAAGGGATTGAAGAGAAATTCAATGATGACCCATGTACAACATCAGAAGAACCGGTAAAGATAGAGGGAAAAGTTCGAGGGGAGCTCAAACCTCCAAGAGTTCTAGAGGTTGTTCCTCAATATTCTGTTTTTCCAATGTAAATATATATGCTTTTACTCCCATTGCTATATGTCATTTTCTTGTTGATTATGTAGGCCTTGTCTGCATCTGGGTTAAGGGCTCTGAGATATGCTCGGGAAGTAAAAGGGATTGGCCAAATTGTTGCCTTAGACAATGATAAAGGTATTATAGATGGACACAAATGTTCTGGATGTTATGATATTGAAGGTTTGCTTTGGACCTAGGAGGTCCTTTAGTTTCTGCCTTTCTGGTTCCCCTGCGCATTTCATGCTATATTACCTACCAAATGCGAACAGATTTTATCTAATATATATATGGTTTACTTGCTGCTTATATTTCCCAATACCTTGTGTCTACTTGCAGGGGCAGTTGAAGCTTGCCAGAGAAACATAAAGTTCAATGGCTCTGTAGCATGTTCGAAAGTGGAATCACATCTTGCTGATGCTCGAGTATACATGCTTACCCACCCAAAAGAATTCGATGTGGTATGGGATATGTTATTTTATATTTTATAGCAACTGTATAGGCAAATTAAATCTGCATGTATGGTCAACTGCTGCAAAAGTATTTGGTAATATATGTATCTAGTTAATACTTTAAATCATGTTTTGTAGAATATTTCCATTTTCTGTAGAAATAGTTCTTATTATGCATTCATTTGGTAGATACCACTTTAAACTCGGTGAAAGAGAAGCATGCTAATTTATTAGAAATTTGTAGGCTATTGCTGCTAATTGTTTTCCACATTTCATGATTAATGGGCAACTTTTGCTGTTTGTGGGTTGCACAATTGAAGGGGAGCTGTGCTTATGCCTTTTATTGCTAAATATGCTTTTCAGGTTGATCTCGATCCTTATGGTTCACCTTCTGTGTTCCTGGACTCTGCAGTTCAATCTGTTGTCGATGGGGGCATGCTGATGTGCACTGCAACTGATATGGCAGTCCTTTGTGGGGGTACTGGGGAGGTTTGCTATTCCAAGTAAGATTGTAGTACCTTTACTTTCATTTGAAATATGGCTTTGAATATTTCAGCTCATCTTATTACTGCAAATTCAAACAGATATGGATCATATCCCTTGAAAGGGAAATATTGCCATGAAATGGCTTTGAGGATCCTCCTAGCCTGCATTGAGGTAATTTAACGTCCTTCAGATGGCAAGTTCATTTAGCTTAGGAAACACATGATATAGTAAACACATCTTGATCTGCTGCTAAAGAAATGTGGCTACTATAGACTTCTTTATTGTTTCACTTGTACAACTTCAAATTGATGGACATAAGAATTTAGAAAAGATAGTTCATAGTTGTAACTATATCACTGTCTTTGAAGTTTATTCTCTTAAACAATATAGCTGAAAGCCGTCTTTTAGAATTAAATACCAATAACAATCTTCTTTGCCATAATTAGTATTTCTTCTTTCTTGAGTGCAGAGTCATGCGAACCGCTACAAACGTTATATTGTTCCTGTTCTGTCTGTCCAGATGGACTTTTATGTCCGTGTTTTTGTTCGTGTATACTCGTAAGTGTCCTGTTCTTTTAATTCGGTTTTATTAAGTAATGTTGCTCTCACATGATGATGATGGAAGGCCAATTAATTCAATGCAGTTCCGCAAGTGCGATGAAGAATACACCCCTTAAGCTCTCATATGTCTATCAATGCACTGGTTGTGATTCTTTTCATCTACAGTCTCTTGGGAGAACTGTTTCCAAGGTGTGCTTCCTGATTTACCATGCCGATGGTGCTTCTCGTTTCTTTTTAACATGTGTTTTACATCATCCGTGCTTCTACTTAGTGGAGTCAAATGTGTGTACATCTGAACTCACACTCATTTTGAGAATATGCCAATCTCTGAGTATTCAATTGCTTAGTGTTGCTAGTGACATGTTCATCCTACTAGGAGTTTTTCTAGAACGAGTCCAAATTGACATTTTTGGTTTTTACATGAGTGACTATCATTCTTGATGCAGCTTAATTTTTGAATTACACAATAGTTTGATCTTACCACCTTTCTATTTCTAGAATACCAGTGTGAGGTATCTCCCAGGCTTTGCACCTATCGTCCCTCAAGAGTGTAGTGATTGTGGGAAGAAATTTAACATGGGTGGACCTATATGGTCTGCTCCCATCCATGATCAAGATTGGGTAACTAACATCCTAGCTGATGTAAAATCAATGAAGGATTTTTATCCTGCCTACGAACGCATCTCGGCTGTTTTGACTACAATTTCAGAGGTATGCATTTTTTTTCCTTAACACCTCTTTGGCGACCCTTTCACAACCTTAGAACATTAGTTTCTGTTAGGGATTTCAGTAACTGTGAGCCATCTCATTTTCTATGCTAAACTATGAAAACTATGGCACAATATGATTATTTAGACTCAAATATTTCTATTGTGCAAGTGTTAGCTATCGGATATGTAAACTTCATGAAATATATATGATCAATCCTATTAAACGAACAAATCTGTTTTCTTTTCAGAGAAATTTTTATGTTCATCAGCTGATTTGCTATTTCTTTGCAGGAATTGCCTGATGTCCCTCTATTTTTGAGTCTGCACAACCTCTGTGCTACGCTAAAATGCACTTCCCCTTCGGCGGTTATTTTCCGCTCGGCTGTGATCAATGCGGGATATCGAATTTCTGGAACTCATGTAAATCCGTTGGGACTAAAATCGGATGCTCCCATGGATGTCATTTGGGACATAATGCGCTGCTGGGTAAGGGATTCTTCCTGTTGTTCCTTTATCTTCTGCATTTTTGTGTGGGTGTGCACACTAAAGAAATTTTTGTTTAAGTATTGGAATTTCAAACTGGTCAACATCCTATGCTCTACTAATTTGATCGAAACGTGATGAAATGGTTTTCATGAATTTTTTGTCTTCTATGTAGGTTAAAAATCATCCAGTGAAGGCTCAACCGGCTGATCAACCTGGAAGTGTGATACTTGCCAAAGAACCGGTTCTTCAAGTACGTCTTCCATGCCACTTCCTTTAGTTGCATGCTCTTCCCCTATCCTCTCTGTCCTTGTTTCATGTTCCATGTGTAAACGCGTGGCTTCTCTAACATAAACATGTACAACTTGAGATTAGAGGTGGGAAATGTTGTTTTAAGTTTAAACATCCTGCAACCTGTGCATCTATTTGGCAGGCAAATTTTGCTCGAGCTGTTGCATCCCTTAGCAAGGCGCAAGCTAAAAAGGTTGCTCGCTTCCTGCCAAATCCCGAAAGGCACTGGGGGCCAAAGGTTAGGGCTGGTCGCCAAATCACCAGCAAGCACATCTCTCTTTTGGGTGAGGATGCAGTAAATGGATGCCTCAATGATCAAGACAGTGAGCGTGATGCCAAACGTCAAAAGACCGAGAAGTCGGATGATGATGATGCTATCGCAGAACCATAGATCTAGGAGGGTAGCCTAGCCAAGGTGGTAGAAACTCGATTGTTACTGTCTCATCGCCTAGAATTTGTCATGGTTTAGTGGGTTAAAATTCATTGTTCTGTGACTATAATCCGTTTTGCAAAATGCAGTTTCTGTTTGATAACTAATTAAAATTTTTAAGCAATTTATTGAAGTTTTGGGGTGTTGGAAACCATAGGGAAAGTTTGATTCTCTGCTTAGTTTTTGTAATTGTAATCTGTCATGGAACTGGAAGTTGGAATGACATTCCATCCGTTAACACGGTTTATTCTCATTCGAAAGAAACCAAGCACACACCCTGTGCTTGTATGGGAGATTGGTTGAAGAATGGGAAAAATGAAAGAAATACTCCATTTTTTACGTGAAGAAACAAAGTAGGATATGTAATCTCATAAAAACAAACCCAGAGAACTGTAAGTTGATGCTCAAAGTTATGCAGTTATATATATATATATATATCCTAATGCCCATATAAATAAAAGGTAGGATTTTAGATATTTATTTTCACTCGTTTAATGATCTTAAAAATGTGTGAAACTGAAAATAATTTAAATTATCAAGACAAACTATGGTTGTTCAAAGCAGGGATTTAAGTTGTAGCTGTGTTTTCAGTTGCGTTGTGTTTATAATGATTATAGACATAATAGATGTTATTGTGGCTATTACGAATATCGCGATTGTATAATAACAATTTCGAACTACACCGTTACAACTATATAATGATCATTATTCTAATAACAGACCGTTTTTTAAATTCATGATTCAAAGAATAACATGTTTTTTACGCAATGAACAATAATATTTCCTTTGACTTAACTCTTTACTCATTCTCGAAAGAAAAAATCTACTCCTTGCATTGCGAATCAATAAAAATAAACTTGAGCTTTATTTAAAATTTAATTATTTCTTTAAATAATACTATCTTTAAATTTAAATTCTCTTATTGGAAAGTAAAATGAAAGCAATGTTAAATCAACTAACACATATTTATTCTCATTTGTAACTTGATAAACTACATACCAAAATCTAGTGACCAAACAAAAAAAATATTAAACTTTATCCAAAACTGTAGGGAAATAATGGTGCAGCCGACTGTTAAATAGAATATAAATAATAAATGTGATTTTCTAAGCTGCTTTGCCATTGGGAACAGAAGATCCTGCAGTGGGTGGGTTGAGCTCATCCCAGGCTTTAATCCAAGTGATCATTGCATCAGCCAGTTTGTCAAAGTAAGGATCAACTCTGCTAAGCTTCTCTTTCACCTGCTTAGCCAGTTCAATGTAGCACTTTTGAACGGTGGTGCAGTCTTTTGGAAGAACAGCCTGTTGGAAGAAGGGGATGATCTCTTCCTGCCAGAAAATTCCCTTGTATTCCTTCCTTAGGTTCACAAATGGGTTGCTGACTTTGCTGTGGTAGATGTAGGGCAGACCCGTTTTCACCCCCAATCCCAAATGATCACATATCACCTAAACATAATAAATTAATCATCGAAGTTATGTAAATTAGACAAGATAGATCATAAGTTATTTGAGTTAGATTTCATCAAAGCTTGATTAATATTCTATTCAAATGGACTCGATTTGAGCTCAACTTGAGTTCTTAATGAGATAAAGTAAATACTTTATACGTAACTTAAAAAGCTTGCAAGCGACTCAAAAAGCAATATAAGACTTTTATCTATTTAAAATTCATGTTTGAGTTTGAGCTTGAACAGATCTTGAGTTTCAATTGAGATAACTCCGAATTGTTTTGAGTTCAAGTTTTTTCAAGTTGGAGTCGAATTTGATAATTTTAAGTTCACGAGCTTTTGAGTTGAACTTGACAATCATAAGTTTGTGAGTTTTCAAGTCGAATCAAGCTAAACTTTAAACTTTTAAAATTAAGTCGAGGTCAACAATACTCAAACTCGATTCCGTTCATTTAACCCTCATCATCAACCAAAAATGAACATAAATCATAAGAAGAAGCAAACCCCCATGGTGATGTACCTTGATGCACCAGCCAGCCCACATGTCGTCATAGCGACCGATTGGCTGGCCATCACCCATGAGCCCAAAGTACATGGCAGGGCCAATCAAGTCACGGTCGAACGCCAGATTCATACCACACATGGGGAACAATGTGCCCTTGGGGATGGTAAAAACCGAGTCGACAAACCTATTGTTCCTCTCGAGAGGCTTCACCAGTTGGGTTGGTGCATCGTAGTCCGGAATGTTCAGCTACAGGCCGTGAGAAACAGCGGTCGGGACACCCTCACGGAGACTGAAAGGATAACCACGGACGAAATCCGCACCGTCTCGGAAGGGATCATACAAGGTGTTGAAGAAGAAGGGAAATGATGGAGATAGAATGTTCTTGATGTGCTGCTCAAGTGCTTTCACCACTTTCCCCGATGGGTCCTTGGCAACCTGATCACAGAATTCACTAAAACCCATGTTCCAAAACATCTCAAAACAAGATTAAAACAAGAAAAGTAGCTTACAAAGCAGTCATCATCGATGGTAAAAATGTACTTCTTCTTAGAAACCATGTAACCAAAGCAACGACAAGCAGAGTCCTTGAAGGAAATGCAGGAAGCCTTGGGACCAAGAATCTTGTTGATATCGTTCCTGTTATAAAGCTCATAGTCGAATCCAGGAGGGACCTTGATGGTCTTTGAAGGATCACCATCTTGAACGATGATGAGATGGTAGGACTGGAAAAATGGCCTCCACATCTCGAGAAAGTCCAAGTTTCTTATAGTGGGTATAACAATGTCCAGGTCGTCTTTCAGCTAAGGCATTACCGGAGCTGCCGTCTGGGTTGCCGTTGCTGGCTCAACCATTATTGATAGAAATCAAGAAGAAGCAAAAAAGATATGTTTTTGGTTGTGTTTGAGATGGATGTGGATGAAAGGAAGAGGTTTGTATGGGAGTATATATGGAGAGAGAGACGTGAGAAACGAGTCGGGCGCCATGAGTGAAGGAAGAGAGACCAGAGCACGTTTAAGATATTTGGAGGTAATCACGACTTTTTCAGTGCCTGTGATTTAGCCTTCAAACTTTGAGCTTTTTTGTCAAACCTAAAATATCAATATTTATATGGCTAAAATTAAAAACCATTTTACTAAATAGATATATTATTAAATATATGGAACTAAGGATAGACATAATATATTTATATTTTTATTCGAATATATATATATATATATATATATATATATATATATATTATGGTATCATATGCTTGTATTTGTATACAACCAATGTTCTTACAACAAGAGGGAATTCATTGAATCATAAAATGTTGATGTAGTCAAGTCTTCACCACATCCTCTGCCTGTAATTCATCTTATGGTGTGCAGGCCCCTGATGTTGATCCAGGCTGCAATCACAAAACAAACCCACATTTTCTTACCAATTTCGAAGGTCTACAGATATTTGAGAGAGGATTCGGATAAAAATATTAGACTCGAAATAAATTTATATTAACAAGACACATACCACACATGCATGGATATCATCACATCCACATAACAACTTCCCATTCAAAGTGTCCACAGCTTGGAATGATCCTCCTCCTTCGCTCCTCTATCCAAACCAAACCAATATATTTATATATATATATAGGATTAGGATCCAGTTACATAGTGTAAGCTTTTTAAATTTTACTTTGATTTAAAATCATTGGATGAATGAAAATAAACTATTGATACATTACAATATTTTCAAATTTCAAAGTAAATGAAGTTAATGAACAAGAAAGAATAGCAATTTAGAGGGACAATATTCACACAAATGCAGTAATGTCATGACATTGTCCTCCAAATGAATGGCACATCCACACATCTCCATCGAAATCGTAAGTGTCGAACATCAACCCTCTGGCTCCATTCTGCAACTCAAAGTGGAAAATAACTAGAAATAGAGATATTAAAGATTGTAGAACGTGAGTTGAGAAACATACGTTGAGCTGAGGAGTGATCATGTCTTCTTGATTGGTAAAGGTAACTCGAGGAATTGGGGTATGCAAAGGGTATCCATCGATGGCATATGCATTGTGGATTGTCAAGAAGGCGTATTTGTTGAAAGGAAGAGAGTTATTCTATTCACCCATAAGTAAACACACAGAATTAACATGTAAACTATACGAAGGGTTAGGATTAATTTACACAATGTAAAACTCTTTAATTTTAAACAGATTTATAACCGTTGGATGAGTAAAAATGGATGGATACGATTAACTCCTTGTTTTTTTTTCAGTAAATATGTTTACATTTCCTACTTTTAATCTCAACCATATGTTTTCACTCATCCAACTGTCTTAAATCTGTGTAAAACTAAAAGAGTTTTACATTATGTAACAGAATCATACCTCTTATATGAATATAATAAATAATAGAGTTACATTGTTCTTCACTCTACTTTACTCTCTCTCCTATTTTACTCACCGAACTTTACAAATTGAATCATTTTGCTCACTCCCCCATTTTCTCTCTAACGTGGCATTTGTTTATTATTTAATATAAAATAATTAAAAAAAATAAAATAAAAACATAAGGTGGTTGGATGCCACCGCCGTCCACAGTTGACTACCATAGATGGTGGTCGTTTGGTACCAAAATGGAATGGGTCACTTCGCCTCGACATCGTGAGTTCGAATCTAACCTCCATTTTTACGGAAGTTGCTTCGAATTCCATGAATTTGAGATTCAAAGTGAGGAAACCGAAACATTTCAGTCCAAATTCACGGGTTTTGAGACATTTTCCAGTGAAACAAAACCATATTTGGGCTCAGGGGTCGAGACGAACAGGCCCATCCCATTTTGGGACCGAACGACGATCATCTACGGCTGTCGACGATGGTCGAAATGACGTGGTGGCTGGCAGAGAGAAAATGGAGAACGGAAGGAAAAGGGTAAATTACACCATGAGTCATTAGAAAAATGGGTAAATTACACCATGATTCATTAGAAAAAAGGGTAAATTACACCATGAGTCATTAAACTTTACTCTACCTCATATTTTACTCACCAAAACGAAGTTATTTTAGAGTATATTTGAGATTTTCAAAATGACGTCGTTTTCATTCTTATGTCACGTCATAACACCGTTAAAAAGTTAACAGCAGAGTGAGCAAAATGATTCAATCTGTATAATAATAATTTACCCACTTTGAATGAGCAATATGTAAAGTTACCGGTCATAACACCGTGTAATTTACCCTAAGTAATAATTTGAATCAAATGTATCAAAGCAAACAGATCATTTAACTTTTAAACATGTAAATTTGAATTATGAAATCAACACATATTTTGTAATCATAATAATTATTGTAATTGTGAGTTATAAAATTTCTTTTCCAAATTTTAAAAATAGTTTATGATTCTTTATGCTAATTTATTGATAGAAGAATATGTGTATGTATTAACAAGTTATAAATTGAATTATATTCACGTAATTTTTTCTTGGATTAAATTATTAGATATGAATAACTCAACTATATAAAACATCAGTGGTGAAAATAATTTTGGACGATGTCGTTACCATGACATAACAATTATTGTTATGGTTACATGTTCGTTATTTAAGTAATTGTTCATAATAATAAGTATTGAAAAACTATATTTTAAGGATAGCTTCACAATAATAAGTATTGAAAAAAAGAGTCACTAATAACAAATATTAAAAAAACTAAATTTTAAGAGTATAGTCATAATAATAAATATCTAAAAATTGAACCTCCAATAAAAAGTACTAAAAAATTGGATTCATAACAACAAATAAATATTAGAAAAAATTGAATTTTAAAAGTATGCCTCTAATAACAAATATTAAAAAAATGGACCCCTAATAACAAGTATTGAAAAAATTGGACATTTAATAACAAATGTTAGAAAAAAATATTGGCAAAATATTGGACACTTATACAAATATTAGAAAAAAATAAATTATAAAAATAGGCCAATAATAATAAATATTAAAAAGATAAGCTCATGATAATAAACATCAGGAAAAAATTGAAACCATAATAACAAGTATTTCAAATAATTAGACCCTATAATACATTATAAGAATTCTAACCCCCGGGCAAGTGCCCCTCCTGCCCAGGACCAGATACGACACTGCATTTATCAACTAATGATTTTCATCTAACATGAACTATTTAGATCAAAAATTAAAATATTACGAACTAGAATGCTTTATAAAGAATAATAAGGGCTAGAATTATTATATAAGCAAACATTAAGTTTTTTTTTAAAATTATACCAAACAACAACTATTAAAAGTATTTGAATTTGTTTGTCTTCTCAACTCGAATGAATCCTAATCTAAAATAATTCAATTAAGTTTGTTATCAATCTGAATAAAAAAAATAAAACCTAATACGTATTTAGATGAAAATATTTAGGTATCTAATTATATGTTCAAGTCAAGTAGAAATACGGGTATTTATCCTTAATTATTATCATGTTCGTGTTTTTCTGGTGAGTATGAATTTAGGCCCACTTTCTTAGAAGCATGACATAAACGTCTAGCTCTAGCAATCCCAACTCTCAATTGAAAGCCAAAGGTCAACAAAGAAGCTTACGAATTTGTTCACTTACCAGAAGCTGGAGTTGGTTTGTAATGGTTGATCTCACGCATCTGGAACCTGAAAACCCTTGTGGGCAAGCGAAACAATACAGCCCAGCCTCGCAATCTCCATCCGAAGAACATTCGTCAAGCAACTGAACACATCAGAACTGTGAATATTACAGAATTCCACAAATTCAACAATAATAAAATCATATGAAATTGAGGGGGGGAAAAGGATACACGTATGCATTTGAAAACTCTACCTTGCACTGTCCATTAGAGCAAGCTGAAGCAATACTGAGAAACACAGAAATAGCAGTGACCAAATCCAGATTCTGAAAAAGATTCATTTTGTTGGTGTTTTGAAGGACTGCAAGGTGCAATCCTCATGGACAGAGTGGGTTTTATTGTGGAATAAATTTGGGGTTTTCTTCTTCTTTTTGGCTGAGAAAACTATGGAAAATTTTCATGAGATTCATAGTTGAATATATGGGGAAAAAAACAAGAAAACTGGACATTTATTGAGGGTTGGCTATCCACTTAATGATATTAATTACCTAATTAAGAAACAAAGTTAAACATTCCACCGGGATTTTAACTTCTAATATGCAACACTCTGGCTTAATTACTTTGTAATAGGGTAAAATAAAATCTTTAAACCATATTTAACATTACGTTTTGATAAAAATTAAATAATTTTTAATAAAAAGATTTAAATAATTCATTTTCTCATTCTCTCAAAATCCCAGAATTAGATTCCCTTTCTCGTTATTCTTGTTTCTACCAATTGACAACCTTCGTTTAGGAGTCGAGTGAAAGGAGGAGAAGAAATAAATTTTCGATATAAAAAACGTAAATTTTGATTGAGTAAACTATGCATTTAGTAAATCATTTTAATCATACAATTATATTTTTTAAAATTATATCTAACATTACGTTTTGATTCTATTTTGGTCACTCACTATTAGAAAATAAATATCGATGAGATGACAATCTTTTATTTCTTTTAATGATGATGCGACATTATCTTATGATGACACACAATATTATCATTAAAATTTTAATGGTGGACGACCAAAACGGAACATTAAGTATGATTTTTAAGAAGAAAGTTGTTGAGTGACCAATCAAATTAACGAGAATATGTAATGACTAAATATGTAGTTTATCCTATTTTTCTAGTAGAATATATCATGTGTACTAACATAAGCCACCCCTCAAATTTGAATCATATTACATAAGACATCTGAGAAATAAAATTAGTCCACTAACAATTATTTCCCGTCCAGCTCAGTTGGTAGAGCGCAATGCTCTTAACCTTGTGGTCGTCGGATCAAGTACTACGGTGGGCAATTCATAATTCTGACTGTCGGAGGTCTTTTAAGGAAGCTTCTCTCAACCTGGCGTTGGGGGCAGCCTATTACCTTACCTCCCCTCACCCCATTACATATGGGAATAGGGTCAGCTAATTTAACAATTATTTCAGAATAAGATGATAATGATCCCACTAGCATTGATATGAAAAAAATCTCCATTTCTTTAAAATGGTTGATGGAATTTATTTTAGGGTAAATTACATAGACGGCCATCAACTATTCTCCCTTTCATTTTGACCTCGGATGTTTTGATTTTGTCAATCTGATCATCCAACTATTTAAATGTTTCAATCAAGCCACTTGCCACTAACTTTTAATGAAGTGTGACAATTGCCGAATTGATCCCTAATGTTTATATATTCTATCAAATTGATAATAATCTAATTCAATTAAAATAAATTTAATCTCTAATTAGATGACTGAGGTTGGGGACCTATATCTTTATAAACTCCACAAAGAAATCCATATTTTTCCGGCTAAAGAAAACACCTGGAAATTGTTGTTATGCAATTTATCTCCTAAAAGCCAAAGAAGAAGAAACATTTTTGGGTAGATGTTAAACTGTTTTGTGGCAAAATATATAAGCTTAACTGGAAACATTTAAGCTATTCTGCAAATTAAGCATGCTGCCGCCTTTCACATGACGGTTTGATTAAGATTTAGTTGATCCTGATCATGATTGTAAAGAATCACTGGTACATGAAAGGAACTCTAGAAAATACTTTGTGAATCATTTTTTTATGTTCATGGTAAAAGAATTAAGTTTTTTGTTCAGTCAAGTATAACATCCGTACCATTTTTTTATATATTTATGACCAAATATACATTTATACCAAGTTTTTTAACTGCCACGTCACTTTCTCCCTTAAAAGTTAACAGCATGTGGCTTGATTGAAGTATTTAAATAGTTAGATAATCTGATTGACAGAATCAAAACATTGATATTCAAAATGAGAGGAGGCACTAATTGAGTGGTCACACGTGTAGTTTATCCTTTATTTTACAACATCCAATCGACGGTCTCAAATTAGGAAAGGGTTCGGGCACTAGGACTCGTTATTTATTGAGGACCCGAGTTCGAGCACCAAGGATAGTGTCAGCGTTTAATGTCAAATGAGTGAGAGTTATCTTTAAACAAATACTACTTTGTACTTACCATATATTAATAAAAAAAATAGGAAAGGGATTTATTAAAGGTATAATGCAAAAATTAGCCCTCAATGTTTATTGAAATGATTATTTTTCCTCATATTCTTTTTTGAAACATTTTGGTCTCAACGTTTCGTTTTCAGGCAAAAGTCTCTTTCATAAATAGAAATTGTTAATTAACAAACTATTAATGCTCTAAAATATAGATTCCTTTTATCCTAAAATGAAATATTGATAATCAAAATACTACGAAAAAACAATAATCAGAATGATTATTTGATCAAATGTTAGAGGATTTTTCTATTAAAATAAAACGTTGAGAGCTAAAATACTTCAAAAAACAAAGAAGAGATAAAATGACTATTTTAACCACGTTGGAGGCTAATTTTAATATTATTCTTTTATTAAATTAGATGCATTGGTAAGTGAACCCCAACAAAGATAATTAAATTTTAAAACTTTATATATATTATACACTCTATTTAGTTCAAACTTCGAACGACCTAACAAATCAATTCTAATAAATATTTATTCAGACATATTTATACAAAGACCAGTTTTCTATCTCACCTCAGTGGTTAAAGGAATCGTTGTTGTTCTTAGAAGTTATAGATCCGAGCACCAATGACTTTAGTACGGTGATTGAACGTTAATTGTCAAATAATGGAGAATATGTAGAACAAATACTACTTTATAATCACATTAGTTTAATAAAAAAAATTCTATCTCACCTGACTTCCATATAAATATTTACTTTAATTAATTTTATTATTTTTAAATTCAAAATTTCTATAAAATTGGAAATTTTAAACAGAAAAAGAAATACTATCACTGTCAGAGATAATCTTTCTTTATATCCATCTTATTTTTTTTTTAAGAAAATAACCTCAGTGACCAAAAATCCCAGATAATATACGATTTTGACCAATTTTTTTTGGATTTGCGAAAATGACCAACAAAATCGCAATGCGATCTCTAATTCGCATTGCGATCTCCAGTATCGCAAATTCGCGTTGCGATAGTTGAACGCAATTTTCCATTTCGCGTTGCGATTTTTCATTTCGCGTTGCGATTTTTCATTTCGCGTTGCGATAGTCTACAGTTGTCGTTGCGATTTTCCAAATTTGTTGCGATAGTCTACAGTTGTCGTTGCGATTTTCCAAATTCGTTGCGATAGTTAAAAAAAAGATTTTGTTTCTTAAGAATTTTCTCTAAAAAGATAGTATCCGCACGGACGTGTCGAAGACACGTATTACCACGACCACGACCACGACCACGACCACGACCACGACCACGACCAGACCAGACCAGACCAGACCCGACCCGAGACGAGACGGCGGCGGCGGCGCGCGAGAGTCCCCCTTGTTCTCTTTCACTCAACAAGGAAGTGCAAAATCCAAGCATTAAATACCATTCCCAATAGTATTTTCAATACTATGTGGGATTGAGCATTACTAATCCTATTGTGAAGATTGTTGCTTGAAGAGTTGAATAACGTTCATTACCACAAGCGTTGCATGATTGGTTCTGGTGGAGGTTCTGTCGGGTTTGTATTCTTATACTTGAAGAAATGATGATAACCTATGCTACTTAAATTAAGCACATGATATCTACGTATATTACTCTTAAGAATGTAAGTTGCTATATATGTGTCGTAACCGTCTTTCGGATGGGGCCCGAAATTGGGCTTCGACTTGAAATAATTGGGTTAGAGTCGCCACTGACCACTTTAAAACGAATTTAGGTGGGTCGGACACCATCTTACCTGATCTGCGTTGTACCAGAAACGTATCGGGTTCGGGAGTCGTTTACAGTCAATGAAGGGTTAGCACCCTTGAACTGCCCTTTCGGTACCAATTAATTTGTCGATTGTCTTAATTGCGAAAATTAAAAAGTTTAAATTTAAATTTAAAAACCCGATTCAAATTACTTACCTTTGATCGATTGAACTTTGTCTAAAAAAAGTCGAAAAGATTAGATAAAAAAACAAATAAATATTAAATAAAAAAAATGATGAATTTAGGGGAAACAAGATAAAAAAAAGAAATAAAAGAAATAAACAAGTGAATAATAATGATAATAACAACAATAATAATAAATGTTAAATAAAACAAAAGCAATATGAAGAAAAAATTAAAAATAATACAAGTAAAAATGATACGTAGATTAATGACCGCAATGAAAATATCCAAAACGTTTAGGCTCAAATCGAAATACCAGAAAGCTGCATTAATGGTCAAAGAGCATGATTATAAAATAAGGGGGACTAAACTAGACATTTCCCATTTTTTCTCAAAAACACGGTGGGTTTTGGCCCAAAACGACGCAGTTTTGGTTAAGCTATTTAAGCCTAAAATCAGGCTTTTCTCACCCCATCCCCCCTCATTTGCTAGATTTCTCTCTCTCTCCTCTGATGATATCTCTCCCTTCTCTCTAGACTCGACCAAGGTTCGGTCACCGCCCGGTGACCTCTCTCCATCGCACTGCCACCTCCCCGGCCGCCGCCGGCGGCCGGGCAAAACCCAAAACATCACGAGACACTCACCTTCCCCCCCCCCCCCCGAGATTCTAAATCTGAACCCCAAAACGTTAAACTCGAGCCGTCCCGGCGTAGATCTAGCAAACAAGGCTCGGCTTTTTACCTTCTTCCAACGGTCTCTTCAACTTCCGGTGACTGTGTTGCTGTCTTTGCTTGGATTTTTTTACTTTGCTTTGCTGTGGGGCTTCGGCCTTTGGGTTTATGTTTCGATTTGGTTTTTCGTTGGCTATAGTGGTTCGGTTTTGCTATTGTGGTTCTGTTGGTTTTTTGTTCGATGTGTGGTACGATGGTGGTTCTGGTACGGTGTTGGAACTGTGGTTGGCCGCTCTTGTGGCTTGTTGGCCTGATGGTTCTTGGTTGTTTACTAATGATGGTCGGTGTATCGTTGTT